GTGACACCTCTATGTGGAGAAATGTGTCCAAAATCTTTACTAACCTTAGACCTCACAAATACATCTTCATTTGGAAAAAACTAAATTTCTGACAGCAACGGTGGAAAAACCAAATCAATGCCTATGATTGCACTATCGAGTATCACCCCGGTTATGTAAACGTAGTTACTATTTACCACGACAACCGATATATGTACACTTGAACACTTTTAGCCTATTCTATCCCATTCTTGCATCCAAATGGAGATTGGGAAATATCACCATAAACTCCCTGTACGAGGTATCTTTTACATGTAAAGATTATGATGATGTCTCGGTGATTATCGACTGACTGACAAGTCAACTCACTTTTTGTTGGTCTAGGGAGACTACATTTATATCACTTAGTAAAATTTCTCATTCCTGAATTTTTCAGATTTTCTGGTGTTTCGATCAACATCTACTCTGAATGTCATTCTACATTCATCCTCTTGTGCTAGAAAACATTTCAGTCAACCGTGAGTACATGTCTACCCTATTACATTACGTACTATTTTTTTGAAGCAGTCAAACAGTCTAGGAAAATTGCTCGAACCTTAGAATTTTAATTATAACCTTTAATTCCTCAATCACCCAACAAATACTCTGTTGAACGGATCTTTACTGTTGGTGATTGAATATTCTGGAAGCTACCATTGTAGCGACATGTTATGCATTAAGTCTAGTTATCTTGTACTCTAGATTTGATGCTTGCTTTGACCCTCAAATTCTTGAGTTTTCTTTTAGCCTTCTTGACATAGTTTTTCACTAAATTCGAGAGAAATTCACTATGAATCTGCTTGTTATTTGGTACCACACTTCACCCTCACGCTAATGGCCAGTCTGAACGAATTATCCAGACCTTCATGGTGTGTTGCGTTTATCCGTTCTATAGTTTTAGGATGATTGTAGCTGACACTTATATTTGTTGAGTAGCGTGCAATGATGCTTATTATTTCGGTTTGGGTGTGATATTATTTAAAGCATTGAATAAAGATTTTATGCACAGTACATAATTGATGGAAGAGTATTGTGAACAGGTATTTGAAGAATCGAAATTACGATGTAGCAAATTTGTGTGCTAGTGACGTTATCACTTGATGGGGTAGTACATGTGCGTGATTGAGGCAATAATCAGACGATTTATGTGTATTTCCCAATGAGGGGCAATATGGTAATAATGCACCCTCGGGAATTTTTTACTTGCTTATCATGACAACAGTGAGTTGTTGGTATTGCGGGTTGCAGACTGTAATATCGATAATTTATTTGTTGGATTTGTTAAGCAAGTGGATAAGTAGGCCTGTCTATGTTAGTATTTTTTTTTAAATTTATTTATCTATTGTTGGGCTTGACCCAAAGATACTACACGCTTATTCTCGGAGTATGTGACACTATGAGTGCGTAGGTGAAATTTATCCATGTTCGGTTTTGATTTCAGTACAACTGTTTTAACTTTGCTTTATTATATATATATATATATATATTGAGGTTATGTTATTATATATCTATTTTCAACTTTATGTTTTTATAAAGAATTTTATATTCTAGTATTGTATCGAAGGAGAATGAAAGTTTGGGTTTGGAGGCATGAAAGAGGAATCATTGCAATCCGATCGCGATGGAATGACACTCTCTTTTATGCAACCACTCTAGCTTGATTTCTTATTTTATGTATAGCAACTTATTTCAAATTTCAGGGACAAATTTTTTTAAGGTGGGTAGATTGTAATAACTCGTCCCTCATTTTACAATTTTTATAAATTTTTAAAATATGAATTTACCAAAATGCCCTTGAGGCGAGGATTGTTGACTTTTGTTGCCCATCATTTAAAGGGATTTACGATCCATTCTTTTTACGTATTTGTGTAGTACTCGACGAGATGAAGGCGTGGGCACAAGCAGAATCAGATTTGGAGATATGGTGAAGATTTTATGGACTTATGCATGTGAAAGGCAATTTGGTAACTTCCTGTTGGGAGATATTTTGTGTGTGTTGTTTTGTAAGCTGGTGGGGCCCACACTTTATTTCTTCCTCTCTTCTGTGTCTCCCACCTTTCCGGCCCATCTCTTATTTGTCACTCACACTCTCTCTACCTTCACACTCTCTTTTTCTCTCAGCTTCTTCTCATATCTCTCTTTTTGCAAGTGCAGAATGCCCATGCCACACCAAACCAGCCTCGCTGGAGCGGCAAGCACCGACCTACTACCACCAGCCTTTTGCGATGGTGGATACTCCGATGAGCGTCAAATATCCAGATCACAACCTCACCCTACTCCTTACACTCCCAACCTCTCTCATCTCAAAGTTTTCCATCTTCACCTGCTTGCATCGAGATGGTGCAATAGTAACACTGCCACACCATCAAGTCACTCCGGCAATCCCTCTGACCACTAAACTAGCACCACAACACCAATTAGCAACCTCCATTCAAGAACTGAGCTCTTTGCGCGTGTATGGACCGAGGAGGAGTTTGTATCAGTTTGACTTTTTCTGGCGAGTTTCTTCCGTCCACGACCAAGCTGGGAACGCAGGAACATTGAGGAGAAATTTTTCAGTTTTCTAGGAAATGAAAACCGTGATCATCCGACCACTATTAGACCAATCTCCCGGTCAACACCGACCATGATTAGGCTTTCAATAGGTGAAACACATCGCAACAATCTTCGATGCTTGTAAAGCGGGTTCGACCTGACGACATGATTTGTGAGTGGATCTTTCCTTTTATGAAGTAATCCTACATGATTCATAAGTAAGCTTACTATAAGGGGATGCCTTAATCATATTTATGGTCAGAGATAGTATTATATTGACTAGAATTGTTGAATTATTGTGGCATGATCATATTTACATTATCTGCTCATCGTTGCTGCACCAGTGTTAGTACTCGCTCAGGGCTAGTGCTAGTCTTTCACGTGTATGTTCATATTGCACTGTACGCTCACTTTGGATCCATTGTAGGTGCCAGTGATGTCCTAGATTGCTATAGGCAATTAGGACTCGTATGTGATGCGCATAGTGCCAGTCTTCACGTGATTATAGTACTAGAGCGTAATTCATTACTACACCCAGTCTTGTTCATGTCAGAATACCTCTGCATGAACTCGTGTGTTAACATGTGTTGATGAGCACTCGATATGATACGTTTTTATGTGAGATTATGTGACTGCCGAACTTTAGATGGTTACTTACAAAATATATTGTAAAGTATTGAATTCTTGAGATATTGCAGGCTATGGTAAGTATTTTCATACTATACGTAGAATGTATATTTTGGAAATTATACTTGTTTTACAGCGAAAGTTTATAATGTTTCAAAAAGGTTTTATAAAACTTTATTTTTAGGACCACTCACCCTTGTTTTTTCGCCCCTTTAGGTTCTAGTGTTGAGCTTTGATGATATAATTCTCATCCTACCTTACTGTACTTTACTTATGCTCTAACATCACGTGTGAAATGGGTTCATTCCTTCTCACAAGCACACTCTTATATTTAGGCACTTTTAGGTTTAAATTTATTCATATTTTCCACATCACTACACTGTAACATCCCACATCGCCCAAGGGAGTGGATCCTCTATGCCTTATATGTACATGCCCATCTCTACCTAGCATGAGGCCTTTTGGGAGCTCACTGGCTTCGGGTTCTATCGGAACTCCGAAGTTAAGCGAGTTTGCACAAAAGTAATCCCATCATGGGTGACCCACTGGGAAGTTCTCGTGTGAGTTCCCAGAAACAAAACCGTGAAGGTGTGGTCGGGGCCCAAAACGAACAATATCGTGGAACGGCGGAGTCGAGCCTGGGATGTGGTGGGGGCCCGGGCCGGGATGTGACAATTTGGTATCATAGCCAATCACTGGTCGGAAGTGTGCCGACGAGGACGTCGGGCCCCTAAAGGGGGGATTGTAACATCCCACATCGCCTAGGGGAGTGGATCCTTTATTCCTTATATATACATGCCCACCTCTATATAGGACGACGTGTTTTGGGAGTTCACTGGCTTCGGGTTCCATCGGAACTCCGAAGTTAAGCGAGTTCGCGCGAGAGCAATCCCATGATGGGTGACCCACTAGGAAGTTCTCTTGTGAGTTCCCAGAAACAAAACCGTGAGGGTGTGGTTGGGGCCCAAAGCGAACAATATCATGGAACGGCGGAGTCGAGCCTGGGATGTGGTGGGGGCCCGAGCTGGGATGTGACAATTTGGCATCAGAGCCAATCATTGGTCAGAAGTGTGCCGACGAGGACGTCGGGCCCCTAAGGGGGTGGATTGTAACATCCCACATCGCCCAGGGGAGTGGATCCTCTATGCCTTATATGTACATGCCCACCTCCATATAGCACGAGGCCTTTTGGGAGCTCACTGGCTTTGGGTTCCATCGGAACTCTAAAGTTAAGCGAGTTCGCGCGAGAGCAATCCCATGATGGGTGACCCATTGGGAAGTTCTCTTGTGAGTTCCCAGAAACAAAACCGTGAGGGCGTGGTCGGGGCCCAAAGCGGACAATATCGTGCTACGGTGGAGTCGAGCCTCGGATGTGGTGGGGCTTGGGCCGGGATGTGACAACACTTTATGACTTCGTCACCCTTCTGGTGGCGGCCAGCACAGCTCAATTCGGAGTCCAGATGGATATTCCGGGTCTGGGTGTGTCATATATCCTGATAAAGTTGAGATAAATACAAGCAGATGAAGAGTGAGTTAGCTTGATTGTCTTATGATAATGTCTTTAATTTCTATTGCTAATTTATTGCAATTTGGCTAATTAATGATTTGGTTGTGATGAAATATTTGGTAGTGTTTGTTTTTAATTTATTGCAATTTAGCTAATTAACGATTATTTTAAATTCCATAAGAAATAAAATTTCAAATTGATTTAACATTTATGGGCATTGATGGATGAAATTAAAATTTTTTTTTTCAAAATTGTACGATATAATTTACCAATTAGTGCTAGGTAAATTGTTGTATTGTATGTGAAAATCAAATCATTTCAAAGGGCAAAGTGGAGGTTTGTATCTTTCAACGGATGAGATTGAGATAAGAAAGTCAAATCTAACGAACAGTTCATAAGTGATAAAATCTAACATTGTCAGCGTTGGAACTTTTTAATGTTGAAAGGTTCATAAAAAATTTTAAGATAAAACGTCTAAAAATCAACTTAAGAAAAGTTAACACACAAAAAAATTATCACATAATCAAATTATTATATAAATAAATATATATAGCCTGATATAGAGTCCGAAAGAAATAACCCCTCATTGGGAGAGATTGTTTTATAAAGCCTCTTCTTGGAGCTTTAAAATGGGATATATTCACAATTTTTTTCAGCCCTATATATAGCCCCTCACTGGAGATGCTCTTAAAAGCCAACCAGATCAAATTTACTCTACAAATATGACATTGAAATGCATAAGGTAAGACAGAGTGAAAGGGAAGGGTACATCTTAAATTTAGGTTACGTCTAAAAATCTTTAAAGCATTGATTTGACGGCCAAAAATTAACACTTTCTAAACAAGAATTAGGCATTGCAGATAAGAGTACGGGTAAGTTTGAAGTATGTGGGACGCGAGGTGAATGTGTAATTTAAGATTTGAGATTTGACTACAATCTTACAAAGTCTAGACTATTGTCATTATTTCACAGTCATATATGATGTAATCACATCCAATTAGTATATATAATCATCAGATGAAAATGAAGATACTAAATATTTGCAAGATTCATTTCACCAACCAAAACACAACCTATATGTTCTTTTAGCCATTTACAAAGACAACTTAACAAATTCACACCGAACTCAGGTATTTTTTGTGACTTTAATACACCGTATATAATGTTCTTAAGATCTAATCTAATTAAAATAAGAGGAAGGAATTACACATAGGTCATTCAAACGCGAAGGTAAGATTTTTTACTAGCCACACTGATAGTCTCCCAACTTGCATCTTGCTATCTGCACAACACTGTAGTTCTGTTGTGAAAAGTTTATAATAAAAAACTTTTGAGTAATTAGAAGTGTAAGCACTCAATATAAGTCATAATAAATTCTGTTACTTTCCGATATGGAGATTTTTGTATTCAACATAATTTAAATGCAAAGGGAGAATGTTGTTCCATCCAATTTCATTACGGTCAGCCGCATAAGTCGGTTGAAAAATGGCACTTACAAGAATATTTCGAAAAAGTGCAGCGCTTAATATAAGTAATAATTAATTTTGTAATATAGTCAATATGCTCAGCTCCTTTATTTGTTTGCAAAATGAATAACATTTTAACATTTTATATTGTCTTGGAGAGGTGTGATCAGGAAATGACCAAGAATAACATTGTGAAGGGAAGGGAACGTGTGACCACACCCAGTGGCGAAGCCAGGAATTGACGGGAGGAGGGGCGAAGTAAAAGATTGCAAGGTTCAAAAGAATAGCAACAACCAAATCCTTTTATATAGTAATGTCTTCCATAATTTATCAATACAATTACAATTGTTGCCGACGAGGTTTCATATCATGAAAACGTCGCATAATAGGCTCATTATCAATAAAAGTAAATACATCTCTCTCAATGTAAACAAGCATGCTATCACTTAACCATTGATCTCCCATTTTGTTACGCAATGGTGTTTTCACAATCTTCATAGCAGAAAAAGCTCTCTCCACCGAAGCGGTTGCAACCGGTAACACCAAAGCCAATGTAAGAAGCTTATACACTAAGATATAGCTTGCACACCTTCCGGTCTTCACCAACTCCTTTGCAAGATCACCAATTCCTCTCAATGATGAAAACTCACTATGCATCTTCATATCGTGAATGTAATTGTCAAGTTGAATTGGAAGATTTATGAGGTTCATACGATCAAAATCTTGAGGATAAAGTTGGGCTAGATGAACAATTTTTGCTTTATCAAAAGATGCAAAATTATTCATCGGACTCAAACATGCCATACAAAGAAGCAATTCAGTGTTTACCTTATTGAAGCGATCATTCAATTCCTTTAATTGCGTATCAAGGACTTGAAAATAGAGGTCCACACGATAGTAATGGAAGTTTGTGAGTCTTGGAGCTTTATGCCTTGATTTTCCGGGTACAAAATGCAAATCCTCCATGTTAGGAACAACAATATCATGCTCTTCACAAAACTTTTTTACATCATCAAGCAAGTCCCCAAAATCATCATCTCTCAAGGATTGTAGTCTTTGCTTGCATACCTCCACTAACGCCATCGCATTCACAATATCTTGATCTTTCTTTTGTAATGCTTGTGATAACTCATTTGTAATTCCCAATATGAGTCTCATCAAAAAAAGATGAAACACAAAATCAAAAGTTTGTATGTCATGGAATACCTTACTTGCTTCTCCGAAATTATCTTGGTTGGTATCATCTTTAATCCATTCAAGCACCTCCACCACGGCTTCAAACATGACAATAATACTCACTATAGTACCATAATGTGAGTTCCAACGTGTATCACAAGGACGCATGAGATTACTCTCTTGATTTAACCCTCTACCCGTTTCAAGATCACCAATATCAAGAGCTTTCGTAATTTGTTCTAGTTGTTTCTCTCTAAATGCATCACGACGCTTACACGATGATCCAATAGTATTGACCAAGATACTAGCATTGTTGAAGAAAATGGCGACGCCCTCAATTCCCTTTGCAACGGCTACAAGAGCTAGTTGAAGTTGGTGTGCAAAACAATGAACATAAAATGCTTGAGGATACTTGTTCAAAATCTTTGTTTTAAGGCCATTTAGCTCGCCTTTCATATTACTAGCTCCATCATAGCCTTGTCCCCGTAACTTAGACATACTCAAATTTGTTGTAGCAAAAAATCTCTCAATAGCTTCTTCAAGTGAGCTACTAGTTGTAGAAGTGACATGTTGTACACCCAAAAACTTTTCAATTGCTTCTCCTTTTTTGTTCACATAACGCAATACCACCGCCATTTGCTCTTTAGTTGAAGAATCATGTGATCCATCAACCAAAAGAGAAAAAAATGCACCTTCCATATCTTTAGTGATTGCATCTAGTTTCAATGGCACAAGCACGGACAAGATCTTTTTGAATATCGGAAGAAGTATACTTAAGATTCTTGGGAGCATTCTCAAACACAACTTTCCTAACTTGCTCATTATGCTTGGAAAGAAATTGCATAAGCTCCAAATAATTACCTCTATTGCTTGATTTGAACGATTCATCGTGGCCACGAAAAGGCAAACCTTGTCCTAACAACCATCTTGTACACTCAAGTGAGGCATTCAATAAAGTACGATAATTAATGCGAGCTTCATCGGTTTGCTTACTCACAAATGTTTCAATGTGTTGTTTTTGTGCCATCAAATCTCTAGCTTGTTGTACAGCTTTATTATGAAGACTTCCAACACCTTCCTCATGGACTCGAAGATTTTGGGGTCCTTTATTCCAATTTGTAAACCCTTTCTCAGTGAAGACATCACTTCCAGTGCTACCCATTTAATCGAAATCACATTTGAAAAGATAGCAATAACGGCAAAATGCAGTAATGATGGTGTTGTTGTACTTTTATGCGAAAATGGAAGCAAATTATAACAAAGTACCAAATATCAACATCGTAGGTGAAAGCTAAAACAAACAATCTCAAACTAACACAAGAGATTTACGTGGTTCGGCATAAAGCCTACTTCACGGACAAAGCACGGCAAGGAATTTCACTAAACAAACGGATATTACAAAAGAGTGTTTAAACTCTCACAACCCAAATCCTACAAATTACAAACCCTAAACCAAATGAGTAGAGAACTGAAACAAACAGAGAAGATTCTCCCAAATTGCTCTCCAACTCACAAACTCGCAAATTGACTCTCACCAAATTGCCACACGAATGAGCCACACAAAATACACTAACCCTAAGGTCCTATTTATAGTGCAAAGGACTTAGGTTACAATAAGAATCCTAATAGGAAGTAAATCCAAATCCTAATCAAATAGGTAATTAACAAAATCTCTTCACAAAGGAAACCAACTAAGAAGTCAAAACCAAACCCAAATAGGACACCAAAACCAAATAGGGAACACAAACCTAATTTATTGCATCATCCTAATTTTGAGCCAAAAACCCAACAATCTCCACCTCGGCAAGAAATTAGCAAACGTCCAAATTTGGATACCAAAATACAAATGCAAACGTGCACTAAATTCTTTCGAAACTGATCTCCACCTAGATTCAAAAAATCCAAAAGTCTTCAAACTTGAAATTTCCTCCAACGCCTTCTCCAACAAATTTCATTATGGAGACTATCAAATACAAAACAAAAATCCAAGCAAAAGCTTGAACATACGAACAAAAAAGTGCGAATTGCACTCCACCCAAAGAGCTTGAGTACCAAGCTCCACCTCATCACATAACCTTTAGAGGAGTTCAGAACAATGATCTTCTGCAATGTTTGCATAAACACTAGCAAAAGACTTATTAAACGGCTTCTTTTTGCCCTTGAGTTTAGGGCAATCTACTTTCCAATGGCCTTCCTTATAACAATAGCTACAAGTGTTCTTTCCAAGTTTGCTCATTTCCTTATTCCTTCCTTAAACTACCAAAGCTCCATCTTGTGTATCAGACACTTTATTCTTTAGCTCTTTAGAATTCAAAGTGGCTTTAACATCTTCCAAACTAAGACTTTCTCTACCAAATAGCATGGTATCAACAAAGTGTTCATACGAAGGAGATAAAGAACACAACAAAGTTATCGCGTAATCTTCATCACTAATTTGGTTGTCCACACTTTTCAAATCCATCATAAGTTTATTAAATTCATCAACATGTTTATGAATTGACGTACCTTCATCCATACGAAGAGTATGCAACTTTTCTTCAAATACAACCGTTTAGCAAGGGATTTGGTCATATACAAGCTCTCCAATTTTTGCCACAACTCCGGTGCAGATTTGATGCTACTAACTTCACGCAAGACTTCATTTGATAAAGTCAGCAGGATTGCTCCAAGTGCCCGCTCCATAATGTCTTCTTTTTCTTCATTAGTCCACGAATTTGGCAAAACCTTCACACCCTTTAGCATTTTTAAAAGTCCTTATTGAACTAACAAAGCACGCATCTTCTATTGCCAAATACCAAAGGCATTGCCATTGAACTTTTCAATATCAACTTTCACCGACGACACAGAAGGCTTCATAGTGATTACCAAGCAAAGCCCAAGCCGAAACCTGGCTCTGATACCACTTGTTGTACTTTTATGCGCAAACGGAAGCGAATTATAATAAAGTACCAAATATCAACGTCGTAGGTGAAAGCTAAAACAAACAATCTTAAACTAACACAAGAGATTTATGTGGTTCAGTGTAAAGCCTACTCCATGGGCGAAGCATGGCAAGGAATTTCACTAAACAAATGGAGATTACAAAAGAGTGTTTAAACTCTCACAACCCAAATCCCACAAATTACAAACCCTAAACCAAACGAGTAGAGAACTCAAACAAACGGAGAAGATTCTCCCAAATTGCTCTCCAACTCACAAACTAGCAAATTGACTTCACCAAATTGCCACACGAATGAGCCACACAAAATACACTAACCCTAAGGTCCTATTTATAGTGCATAGGACTTAGGTTACAATAAGAATCCTAATAGAAAGTAAATCCAAATCCTAATCAAATAGGTAATTAACAAAATCTCTCCACCAAGGAAACCAACTAAGAAGTCAAAACCAAACCCAAATAGGACACCAAAACCAAATAGGCAACACAAACCTAATTTATTGCATCATCCTAATTTTGAGCCAAAAACCCAACAGGTGTCTAATGGAGTGGAAGAGTGGGGTGTTCAAAGCCCAACAAAACAATATTCAATCTTCCATTTGACTTTATTAAAGCCAATAATTTATTATGTAACACCCATGTACGAAACCCACCATCAAACTTTCATTTGGACTCAATAAATTAGTAATTAAAAGCCACTTGTTTCTCTTAGTCAAGTCAATCAGCTTATGCAAGCATTTACACTGCACAATGGCTGAATTCATGTTCCAGATAAGGACTAGAATTCTCTCCCTTCCTTTTTCCATCTCCTTCCATTCTCACTTCTCACATTATCTTATTTTGTCTTTCTCTTGCTATAAAAAATTAATATAAGATGTTGACATGGCTTAACCGTGACCATTCAAATACGAGGGGAGGAAAATGGAGGGAAAAAAAAAGGGAGAGAATCCTACTCCTCTGGATAAAACCCATGCAGTGGTGCACACTGCAAAAGGAGAGATTCTAAGTTTTAGATATGCCTCTGATACTTTCATATAGTTTCAAACATAACTTGTTCGTTATAATTCCAAATTGAGTTCTGTCTACGACCACGTGTTCGTAAAAATGAGTATTATTCAAGAATAGTAAAATAAGAGTGGAAAAATGAAGGGAAAATTGAGATCCACATGGAAGGCCTACGTGGCATCTTAAGGGTATTTTGATAATTTCACTACTGCTAAGAACAAAATATGATAAATCTCGGGACGGGGATGTCACAATCTACTCCTCTTAAGAAAATTTCATCCTTGAAATTCGAAACAACTGAATTTAATCAAGGAAGAAGTACGGATACAAGTCTCTCACATGTTCTTCGGTTTCCCATGACGCGTCTTCAACATAGTGGTATCTTCGAATTCCGTATCGCTCGCATCCACGCGATCGTAATGGAGAGCACTACGAGAGTATATGTGTGTGTGTGTGTGTGGGTCAAGCCCAAACAATAATTAATTAGGCACGAGGCCTAATTAATAAAATACTACCAGAAATGGGCCTACTTGCCCACTTGCTTAGCAAACCCAACGAATAGGCCATCAATATCATAGTCTGTAGCTTGTAATACTGACAACCAACTGTTGTCTTGATAAACAAGTAATGGAATCCCGAGGGTGCAAAATTATTATTTTGTCCCTCATTAGGGAAAGTGCATAAATCATCTGATTTACACATTGTTCGCACTCACGTGTTCGTAAGAACACGTACTACCTATAAAGATGTGAAAATGAACAAATAGTAATAAGGACTCAGATGTCCACACCTGAAATCCGCATAGGATTTCCACTTAGCCGGTCAGGGGCATTGGTGCGAAAATTATCTTAACACACAAATTTAACCCTCTTTTGGCCTTTGCTGCAATTAAATGAAATAACGTATTAAAGGTCAGTTGCCTTTTGGAGAAGAGATAAATTTGAGGGAAATGAGAGAAATTATAGTGGAAAGAAGGAAGAGAGAAGGATATGGACGAAATGCACTGTATGTACACGACATGCACATCTTATGCTCACAGATTTGAGCTCAACCCAAAAACACATAACTCACAGCTCTCTCTTCGAAATCAGAAAAAATGATGCAATCATATAAATGACCCTAAACTTTATATGAAGAATTGAAGATTCATTATTTGAATTTGGTATCAAATTTGATTGGGTTTAAATATTTCAAGGATTTGAAAATTGCAGTTTGAATGGGCACGAAAGAACCCAACTGAATCAAGGAAAATTGTTTGACGAACTCGTTCACTTTTTTCGTATTTGTAGGGTCTGCCTCTGAATCAAAGGAAAAAAATAGTAAATTACGTAAATGTGAAGAGTATCAAAGATGCAAATACGCACCATATACACTATATGCACACCACATGCAAATAATATGTATAGTATATGCACATGATATGCACGAAGCGGGAGAAACTTTAATGGAAATATGTTGTATTTCTTATGTGTTTTCTCCTCTATGCTCTCTCTCTCTCTCTCTCTCTCTTGATTCAAATTTACAAGCAATAAAATAGGGTTTGGCCTTTGCTGCAATTAAATGAAATAACGTATTAAAGGTCAGTTGCCTTTTGGAGAAGAGATAAATTTGAGGGAAAAGAGAGAAATTATAGTGGAAAGAAGGAAGAGAGAAGGATATGGACGAAATGCCCTGTATGTACACGACATGCACATGACATGCACATCTTATGCTCACATATTTGAGCTCAACCCAAAAACTCACAGCTCTCTCTTCG